TATCCTTACTACGGTAAGTCAAACAACAGGGATAATAACCTGTTGAGCTGGTAGAAACATTATATCGAAAACAAGAATAAGGTAGTAACAGCTCGAGATTTATTATAGAGACTGAGTCACAATGGGTGGAGATGAAGAAACTACTCTACAGTGGGAAGAGAGCTATCTAACAAAGGAAACAGCGGCACACAAACTCAAAAGCAGCAACCAACTAAGAATACTTAGTGGAAAAGCAGAAGAAGAGTAGAGAAGAAACATGAACCTCTCGAGAACAAAACAAGTCTGACAAACCAGGTATTCAGTAAGTGTTTTTAACCCTCAGGTGACTCCAAGGTAAATCACCTGAAAAATACACGTGCAAAAATATCAGACCTGTCAAGTTGATAACATTATCAGTTTTGAATAAAAACGGAAATTTTAGAAAATTGTCAAGGTGATAACTTCGTTTATTGAGTGGTAAGCCAAAACATAGTAATACCTAAACAACGAACAATGTGCATAATTAGATCAACACAATGAGCCCAACAGGGTGCAATAAGTACTAAACAAAACAACGGGATTCACGCCACAAAAAGACACGATACACCAGAACTCGCACTGGGGCCATTCACAAGTTAGTCCTTATTTATAGACATTGAAATGTTAAATTTATAAACATCACCCAGAAGTGAAATCTCCTATAGAAGCTCAAGGATCTTCAGAAGAAGATTTAGTATGTTCTTTTCTAAAAACAGTTACATAAGCCTTCCACACCAACAGAAGCTGGCAAATGAACAACATAGGCCATACAATTAAATGAAACTAAACGAAACATAAGAATACTCGATAACATTGAGTGAATTAGACGTACAACTTCAAATGAGGCATAGAATGGCACAAAACCCAAACAAAACACATAGCCGTAGAACTCAAACTAGTAATGCAAACCGCGGAAGTTACTGAACGCATGAGTACACACAATATCACTGAGGGAAACAGCCACAGAGGCAATCGGGCTAGAAATCAGTAAAGAAGAATTGAGGCACAAACATTCAACTCAACGTTCCATTGACAAGTCAATAAGATTATCACAACCACACGCATTACACAAACAAATCTAGAACCCTAAGCAAAACTTATCCTCAACAAAAAGAAATCAGACAAGTAACTCGCAATCTCGAATGAAATCAGACAAGATATCTGTAGCCACCTTCAATATGGTGGCGCCTATCAATATATTAACTTAATGAGAATCAGAAGACAACACATAGGGATATTGAATTCCACAATACGCCCACGATAAGACTTGTGTAATGAATCGCCACTGAGATCCAAAATACATGGACATTAGAATAGATAGGACCTCTCATTGTGAACCATTTATCAGAGATCTTATAAACAAGACACATTGTGAAATGCTTCACATCGTGATCGAAACACAAGAGAAACACCATCTCAGATTCAAAATACAAACAAGACGGAACAATACATTCTGCACAAACGCATATGCGAACATCAACCCGTGCACAAGAATACTTGACACAATAATAAGTACGTAAATTCAACTAATGCACAAGAATACTAGAAGCACAATAATAAGAACTTCGCGTGCACATACAGTCACGCACACCTCTACCTAAACCAAGGGAGTTGGATGGCATAACAGACACCAAGAAAGACTCCAGGTGCACACACAGACAAGAAGTATCTATACCACTAAGTCAAAAACAGATAATGTAACGTAGCTCACAATAAACAGAACTTAAAGTGCATACAATACCATAACCCCCACACAACTACCTAAATCAAGGAAGTTCGGTACACCCACAAACCAAAACGATACACATGTATCACAATAAGGTGACATATACACCACAAGGGGACAAATAAGATACATATACACAAGAAGTTCGGTACAGTGACAAAAGTCACTACCACATTGTCACACATCATTACAAATTATATTTTTATATATTAAAATAATTAAAACCATAAACCAAAAAGTCTCACATACGATAAACTGAGTGTACACGAGAAACCAGGTTTATTTCAAATACACAAATAAACCAAGATAAACCCAGGTTTATCCACTTAAACAAAAAACTCCCAATATAATTCCAGGTATTGCAAAGACCGCTGAGTTGAGCAGATCAGAGGCAAGCTACTACACACGTCTTGACTACGTGACACTACAAGGAAGCACAAACGAAGGTAATCAATCGAATTTATTGAAACTGACGTAGGCACATAAGAGCCACTTGTACTAAGTAGTATACACAGTCTGACATAACAACAAATGTTACACACACAGCATAGTCAATGACTTCTGCTCCATATCAGAGGACACGTGCAGCACGACGAAGCCTACGCACACAAGTGAGCTCAAGCAGAACACAGACCAGAGGCAATACGAGTCGTACGACCAGGACACGTCCAGAAACAGCAACCACAATGCCAGTTTCGCAAGCATCGTCACGCACCTCTACCCCACACAATGGGGATAGAGCGATGCACATGGACGATGAGTCCACACCAGCACGAGCTCCAATGGATCCAGCAATGAGTAAGTACAACATAGTCTTGGACAAGACCATCTATGAGAGCAACTACTACATAATAGACATACTAGTAGGCAAGTTGTATGCGCAGACAGCGGACTATATCATTGACATTAGAGCGTTTCACAAACTGCGCAAAGCAGTTCATGAACAACAACCAAAGCGATTAGTTCCAGTAATAGATGAGTGGTTAGTAGAGCTATACAACAAAGCGATGAAGAACTGTGACAAAGGTGATCACGATGAGTGCATTGCGATCAATGGCTTTATGAGCGAGTTAATTCTAATTACATCTCACGAAGGGGACTAAGCTTCAGAACCAGAACTGAACAAACTACTCAAGATGAGTGAGTTCCCTAAGTGGCCAGCAGACAAATATGTCAGCATAGCTTATTGTCGTGATACAATTGAGTTTGTATCTGTAGCCAAAGACTTGTTTGCGGGCACAAACATGCCATTAATACAGTACCTCTCATTAGTACAAGAGCTGCTCAGACAGACAGATGCGACCGAAGTTTCGCGCACTGCACTCAACAATATACATAGTACCAAAAGGCTTTGGCGAGACTTCACTGATGTGGAGGACTACAACATAATAATAATTGACAATCTACGTCGCATTCCAGTAGACTATCTACTAGAGAAATGGCTCAATGACTTCTATGAGACTCGTATGATTGTTGAAGTACGGGTAGCACGGTTGCGTCGCACAATGTTTAAGTTGGAGTAGCGCTACAAGGGCACGGAGAGAGAGGTAATTGGCAACTCCTCAAAGCATCACGTTACCAAGTACTAGTCATGTATGGTTTACAAGCAGAAACAGACAAAATGATCAAGGCTCAGACAAAATCAGACGGTAGTAGTGGACATTTATCTGATATCTCAGAGAAAGTATTTCATGAACTCACCGAAGACATGATCAGACAGGCAACCATAACACAAGCCAATCGCAAGCGTGAAGTCAAGCGAGCGAAAAACATACATGCTCATGAACCGTGAGCTACTCGCCCAAGACTGAACATCCCTATAGGGGGTCCACCCAGGAGGGGGGGGGGGGGCACCAAGAGGGAGAAGCCCACCAAGGGTGGAGGTCCACCAGGAGGGCAAGGTAGAGGTCGTCCCATAGGACAGGTCAATGACACTCCAGCACCACGAGGACCACGACTCTGCCCACACTGTGGGATAAACCCCTCACCTCATGCGTTCAGCAAGTGCCCCAACAAAGCGGTAAACAACCGTCGAAAGGCAGAAGCACGTGAAGCGCAACAGAACCAACCCGTCCATGTTGACCAGTTAGCCATTACCAATGGCAATTAGGTGCAAGAGATGGAGGAAGATCTATGAAAGGCTTGGTGGTCGGAGGCTAACATGATAAACATGGTAGGCATTGTGAATGCACACACTGATGAAGAAATGTTGTTAATAAATGCGAATGATATTGATTAAACACCCATTTCTTTACTTCCGAATCCACGCGACCAAAGATTGCACATAGACATACAAATCAATGGCACCACATACAATGCACTAGTAGATTCAGGGGCACACAATGCACTAGTAGATTCAGGGGCACACAATGGTACCACATACAATGCACTAGTAGATTCAGGGGCACAACGCTCTTGTATGGACCGAAGTGTAGTAACTGAACTTTACCTATCTGTAAAGGCACAACCCGGATACATTCAACTCGCACAATCAGATGCAAGAGTACAACGCACAGGCTCCACAGAAGTATGTGATATAAATTATGGAGGCAGAAAAACCTCAAACTGCTTCGAGGTACTTGACCTCCCAGACAAGAAATCACCAATCCTATTAGGAATGGACATTCTACCGTACTTGGGCATATACTTAGCAGGGATAATCAATCCGCTAATAACAACAGATGCCAAATGGGAATCACTTCTTACCCCACATGAAGAAGACCTTGAACATGAACAGGAAGGGTTCAAAGAATCACTCTCAGACTTGTTAGAACAAAATGGGCAAATACCACCAGATGTACACTGCAATCTACCAGGCTCAGTGGTGGAGATACCGAGTCAAGAGGTTAAAGCAAAGAACATTCGTCATGCTAAAGTGACCTTTGTTCCACACAAATACATACCAGAAACATATGAAAACGGTCAGAAATGGGTCAAAGATGGACACATATACAAAGGAACAATTTCCACACAGGTGAACCTGCCACTACTGTCCACAGGAGAATTTGAACAGACAGGTCTGTTAAAAAAGATCCGCACATGTTCAGATTTACGAGAAGTAAACTATCAACACGAACAAGACAAGTTCGTTACCAAAGATAAAGAAGTACTCCACAGCCTACAAGGTGCGCAATTCTTCTCCAAACTGGACTTAACAGGAGGCTTCCACCACTTCAACGTACATGAAAATAGCCAACACTTCTTCACATTTTCATGGAGAGGGGCGCAATACTTATTCAAGTCAGCTTCATTTGGACTGCACTCGCTAAAAGCACAATTCCAAAGAGTGATGGCCAACCTCCTCATTGACATTAAAGGAGTACAAGTATATGTAGACAACATAGTCATCGCTAGTATGACAGAAGAGGAACACAGACAAACAATACGCGAAGTCATCAAAAGACTTAATGCCGCCAACTTCAGGCTAAATCACAACAAGTGTGCGTTTGCAGTCAAGACAGTCAATATATTAGGCGTCAAAGTGACTACTCAAGGGCTCAAAACAGACCCAGAGAAACAGAAACTCATGATTGACTGGCCCTTACCAAGAACCAAACGTGACTTACATAGAGCAGTCGGTCTATCAAATTACATGCGAGACCACATACCTCAGTTTGCACACATAACAAAACACTTCCGCAATCTCATAAAAGGCAAAATGAATCAAAATGTAGCCAATCTTTGGACACCAGAACTTATCAAGAAAAGGGAAGAACTCAAAGATGCCATTGCATGCTCAACAACTTTGGTGTACCCAGTAGATGGAGTTGCATTTCAGATCATGAATGATGCAAGTGATTATGGTATAGGAGGATGTCTGTTCCAAATTGTAGATGGAGTCAGAAGAGATATACTCTATTTCTCAAAAGGTCTCAACCCTGCACAACAAAGATATGGGACAAATACTAAAGAGTTGTTAGCACTTGTATACAGTCTAGAACATTTCTCAGAATACATCAAAGGCGACGATATAACATTGTGGACAGATCACAAAGCGTTATGCCACATGAACGAGCAGCACACGCTGCATCCTATGCTCGCGAAATGGATAGCAAAAAACATTCCATCACCACTTCACAACTATACACGTGCCAGGCAAAGAGAATGAAGTTGCTGACAATTGTCAAGACTACACGAAAACACATTCAACATCAAAACATCGAATGTGTTGAAAGAAGCCAATGAGCACATACACAATGGTCAGGAATACACTGACTTAGAAACAAACATGCCCATCTTAGTGTCTGCCATAGACTGGAAACTACATCCACGATTCTTTCAAGATGCAGAAGGCCTGTTTGGTAAATTTACCATTGATTTATTTGCAGCCGCACACAATACTCAAACCGCGAAATTCTACACCAAAGAACAAAACGCGCTGCTACAAAAGTGGGCAGATGAAATAAACGCGTGGGCAAATCCTCCCTGGGAACTAATACCAGACGTGTTAGACAAAGTCATAGGGGAAGCCACAAGCATTACAATAAGCGTTCCGTACTACCCAAACGCAACATGGTCCCCCAAATTCCTGTCATTACTGGAAGAAGATCCTATGATAGTTGAAAACACAAACAATACTTTCTTAAAGAATGGCACAACATCCTGTGGTAAAACACCATGGGGAGTCACATTAGTAGCCAAAATAGGCACAAAGTTTCCATACTTTGACCAAAAGCTAACGCATCCTGCAGTGAATATTGCACCCATACACATCGCGGATGAAACCGCAGAGCTAGACACAGTTACATATGAAGACAGAGCCACACTCATAACTCAACACCACACAGTGGGACACTCCACTGTCGAAGAAACAGTGAACAAACTCATACTAGACGGCCACACAGGTCTAGACAAAAGGAACATGTCATCCAATATATTGAGGGATGTGTATCATGTCTCAATCAATAACCGCCGCCTTCCCGGGCGACAGGATACAAGTGGATACCATAGATCCCTTGATAGACTCGAATAGGGGCAACACGTACATTCTAGTAAGGTTACATGTATATTCATCAATGATGGACAAATCGGCAGCCACTGTTGCACGAACACTAGTTCCAATCATGTGTGAACATGGATTTCCACAAGTCATACAGACGGATCAGGGCACAGAATACGTAATGACATACTCTCAAAAAACATTGAGCAGGCACCGTCACAACACTTAGTGTCCAGACCATCAACCCAAAGTAATGGGGGCAAATGAGCGCTCGCACAGAGACCTCATCCCTTGACTAAGGAAATTTGTTGAACAAAATCCAGGCAACTGGTGCTCACGCCTCCCATTTGTCCAAACGGGTCACAACCTACGTTCCTCACGCAGACACGAATCACCAAGGTTCAATGTGTACTATGGGCGACGACAAAACCAACTCACAAATTATGACACAACGGCCAGTGCACCAGGTACAACCATACCATGGGAAACACGACTACAGAATCTGGAGGAGTCAATAAGACCACAACTAGATGCCAATGTGGCACAATACCAAAAAAAAAATGCGCGCAGCTTTTGATCGCAAATATCAAGAGAAGCATGTACACTTCCAAGCAGGGGACATTGTGATGGTTCGTTACTTAGGTGAAATGAACAAAATGACCGCACTATATGGAGGCCCACACAAGTTAGCAAGCAAAGAGGGCAACAGATATTTCGTCCGTAACCTTGATGGCACTCGAGCCCCCGAATATCCTAACTCAGTCAATGATGAGCTAATTGGTTTAGACAAGAAGGCTAGCGAATCAGAAGATTTCACTACCAACAATCAAGTCCATCAGAAGAGACTTAATTCTCCTCCATACTACAGAGAATCCACAAGAGGTGGAGGAACCCAGGACTACTGCACCTGGACACATGAATCAGACATCGCAGATCCAGATATTCTTACGATATACCGACAGCGTAAACGACGCAAGCGAAGGCAATCCAGGCCGAAGAAATCAACAGCAACCAGCACTGATGAACGATCAGCGAGCAACAGGCAGCGCAAGAGGCGAGAAAGTTAACCAAGTTTCACTGACACCGAAGGACACTCCCTCTTTTCTCACCTTGAAGCATGCTCTGCCCACACACCAGAGGGATAAGGGCCAAAGACTCGGTGGA